AATCTAACGGTGGCGACGAGCGGCGACGAGACGACGACGGGGCGGCGACGGCGGCCCCTTAGCCGCCAAACCGGCACGTAGGCCCAGAAGACGGGCGGCGACGAAGCAGCGACGGGGCGGCGACGGCGGCAACTTAGCCGCCAGACCGTCACGCAGGCCCAGCTCCGCAGAAAATACCTAAGAATCCCTACGTGCAAGCACTTGTGGGGGAATCTGATGCCTGCTGATGGTGCCCTCACCTCATTCCGCGTCTTTGTGGGGATCATGTCGTGAAAACACTCCCGCGGTGAAGTAGGGAAAGAGGAGGAGGAGGACCAGTGTAAACCCAAAACGCATCAACGGTGTCGCAATAAACCGACCCTCCAACTTCCGTCTCCAAGGGTCCCTACAAAAATATATTTCATTACTGGAAGTGCCCCATTGGAAGACAACCGTCTGAGAATCCTCAATCCCACATAAACACCGTTCCTGGGACTTCAACGTCACGAATCAACGTAGCTGCTGCGTGCTAACAATCCTAAACGTACCAGAACAACACTCCTGGGATTTCAACACCGCGAATCAACGAGACTATCGCGTCCTGACAAGTCCCAAACTGCACCAGAACACCATGCAGGCAACTTAACCCACATGAATGTTTGAAACTGTTGAAAACGTTTTAAACCTATCTGCGCGGCGCAAATGCGAGAGCCAGATTGTGAAAAGGAGCCGCCCTGCATCGGCGAAACTGCTGAAAAACTTTGACGACGAATGCGCGCGGTACTGAAGCGAGAGAAGGCGAGAGCCACATCTTGAACACGGGCCGCCCTCTCTCATGGACGCTGCTGCGAGCTTTGAAGACGAATGTGCGCGGCGCTAGGGCGAGAACCACATATTGAAGAGCACATGTCCTCCATCCTTGAAATTTCTGCGATCTTTTCGAGCGTCAGGAAAATATGTTGTGAATCGGTTAGGAGGTCTCATGCGAAACGCCCGCCCTACCGACGCGTCTGGGGGTGCGACAGAGAGGAGTTATTCAAGAGGTCAAGAAGACTGCATCAACATAACTTTCGGACGTCCGCGCGGATTTCTTGAATCGACAGTGGGCCCCCTCTTTGGCGCGCACAGCGCGCTAAAGGCGACGCTCACGTTCATCATGATTTTTGTGCAGAGGAGGCGGAGGAAGAGGAGGAGGACACGCTCGACAATGTCCGCAGCTCGAAGCTCGAAGCAGGAGGAGCAGGAGGAGGAGGAGGGGGCGAAGGAGGAGGAAAGGGGGAGAAAGAGGAGGAGGAGGAGAAGACAGAGGAGGAGGAGGAGGAGGAGGAGGAGGAGGAGAGAAAGGAGGAGGAGGATGAGGAGGAGGCGGAGGAAAAGAGGAGAAGGAAGGAGGAGGAGGAGGAGGAGGAGGAGAAGGAAAAAAAGACGGGGCGCGGAGCAAGGCGGCCAGCCGGCCGCGGATCTGGGTGCTATGCCCGGCGGAGCTCGTGCGGGAACGCGCCGCTCACTTCCCCTGCGCGTCCCGTCCACTGCCCGCGCGGAGGGCGCTCGCTGCCTCCTCCTCCTCCTCCTCCGCCTCCGCCTCCTCCTCCTCCTCCTCCTCCTCCTCCTCCTCCTCCTCCTCCTCCTCCTCCTCCTCCTCCTCCTCCTCCCTGCCGCCTCCTCCCTGCCGCCTCCTCCCCTGAAACGAACGTCCTTCTAAAAAACTTCCCCCTGCCGCACCCCGAAGGCCAGGTTTTGGGGCGGGCCGGGCGTTGCGCCGGAGATGTCCTCGCCCGATACGATCCCGAGGCTTCAAGAATTGGCAGCAGCTTCGCAGGTGGAGGCCGCGCGGTTTTCAAGACGTGGCCCTCGCCTTGGCGCGGCGCACACTCGTTTTTTACAAGCTTGCAAGAGCTCCACGGATTGAGGGCGCGTGGTTTTCAAAACGTATGTGGCTCTCGCCTTAGCGCGGCGCACACTCGTTTTGCAAGCTTGCAAGAGCTTCACGGATGGAGGGCGGGTGGTTTTCAAAACGTATGTGGCTCTCGCCTTGGCGCGGCGCACACTCGTTTTTTACAAGCTTGCAAGAGCTTCGCGGATTAGGGGCGGGTGGTTGTCAAGATGCATGTGGTTCTCGTCTCAGCGCGGCGCACATGGATTCAAAAATTGCAAGAGTCTCGCGGACTGAGGGCGGGCGGTTTTCAAAATGTGGCTCTCGCCTTGGCGCGGCGCACATTCGTTTTACAAATTCCCTACCTAGGCTCTGCCTAGAAAGGTTCTTACCCTGTATGCTTAAAGGGCCGGGCAGTGCTCCCCGCCCCGGGCGGTTCCCCCAAGATCCGCCCCGCGGTTCCCCCAGTATCCGCCCCGCGGTTCCCCCCGCCCTTGCTAGCTAAGCTTAGCTTAGCTTAGGTTAGCTTAGTTTAGCTTATCTCATCTTAGCTTAGCTTAGCTTAGCTTTGCTTTGCCTAGCCTAGCTTAGCTTAGCTTAGCTTAGCTGTGCTTAGCCTATCTCATCTTAGCTTAGCTTAGCTTAGAT